CCCCCCCCCACACACTCCAAAGCAGGCATCAAACTCCACAGAGGCAGGGAAGCGTCGTCTTCTCCACACCCCACTGACCCCCCGCCCCCCCATGCACGAGTCCTGCATGCAGAAGGACCCCCATCTCCACAACAGCCCTGAGATGCTGTGAGGGGCTGCCCCAGAGAGGAGGAGGAAGGGGGTCAAGCGATTCTCCAAGGTCAGACAAGGAATAATGGATGGAAACTGACCCAGGAGAGATTCAACCTGGAAATAAGGAGGAATTTTCTGACAGGGAGAACAACCAACCAAAGGAATAGAAGTTGCCTTCAGAAGTTGTGGGAGCTTCATCCCTGGAGGCTTCCAAGAAGAGACTGGACTGCCCTCAGTCAGAAATGGGGTAGGGTCTCCTGCTAGGATGGAGGGTTGGACTAGATGGCCTCTGAGGTCCATTGCAGCCATATGATTTAAGGAAGGAAGGAAGGAAGGAAGGAAGGAAGGAAGGAAGGAAGGAAGGAAGGAAGGAAGGAAAGATGGAAGGAAGGAAGGTAAGAAAGGAAGGGAAGGAAGAAAGGAAGGGAAGGAAGGAAGGAAGGGAAGGAAGGAAGGAAGGAGGGAAGGAAGGGAAAGAAGGAAGGAAGGAAGGAGGGAAGGAAGGGAAAGAAGGAAGGAAATGGAGAGGGTGGGAGGAAAGCGAGGGAGGAAGGAAGGAAGGAAGGGAAAGAAGGAAGGAAGGAAGGAGGGAAGGAAGGGAAAGAAGGAAGGAAGGGAAGGAAGGGAGGGAGGGAGGAAGGAAGGAGGGAAGGAAAGGAAAGAAGGAAGGAAGGGAAGGAAGGAACGGAGGAAGGGAAGGAAGGAAGGAAGGGAGGAAGGGAAGGAAGGGAAGGAAATGGAGAGAGGGTGGGAGGAAAGGGAGGGAGGGAGGGAGGAAGGAAGGAAGGAGAGGGAAGGAAGGGAAAGAAGGAAGGAAGGAAGGAACAGAGGAAGGGAAGGAAGGAAGGAAGGAAGGAAGGAAGGAAGGAAGGAAGGGAAGAAGGAAGGAAGGACGAACAATGGGTGGACACTTCCCAGAGAGAGATACAACTTAGAGCCAAGGAGAAACTTCCCAACACTGAGAACAATTAATCTGCAGAACTTCAGAAGTTGTGGGGCTGCTCCATGACTGGAGCCTTTCCAGAAGACACCAGACCATCACTTGCCTGAAACGGTATACAGGCTCTCCTGCCTGAGCAGCGGGGGTTGGACTAGATGACCTACAGGGACCCTTCCAACCCTTGTCCATTCTGCTCTGCCCCGCCATGCCGATTATAACCCCGCACGGATGCTGCAGACGAGAGAGCAAAACCTCCGTCCTGTTGGTTGCTTGCCTGGAGTATTTTTCCCCACACCCGCCGTGTGTGCCTCGGGAGAAGGAAATTCCGGGGAAGGGAAAGTCGCCGCCTCCAGGGGGCAGCCACGAGCTTCCCAGACTTCTCAAGCCACCCTCTAGTGAAGGTTTGAGGGTATTGCAGGGCAGATCAGCCTTCCCCCAAGCGGGCACCTTTCACAAATGGCTCCACTGTTTTAACTTTCTCCCTGTCCGCGAATCTCTCCTGGGTTCTAGGTTACGTCTCTCCCGGATCAGCTTCCACCCGTCGCTTCTTGGAACGCTTCAGATAACACTTTATCCACGTTACGACACTTTGCAAACTCGATCCTTGATCAACTCCTCGCTTTTGGTCTCCTTCGTCGACGTGACCCATCCTGCACAACCTCCCTCGAACACACCTCCATTTCCCTGGCAAATATTAATAGCAGCCTTCCAATCTTGGAGGGGCTACCGCGAAGAAGAAGAAGAAGAAGAAGAAGAGGAAGAGGAAGAGGAGGAAGAGGAAGAGGAAGAGGAAGAGGAAGAGGAAGAGGAAGAAGAAGAAGAAGAAGAAGAAGAAGAAGAAGAAGAAGAAGAAGAAGGGGTGTCCACCTATTTTCCCAAATGACCCGAAGGCAGGACAAGAAGCCAACGGTTGGAAACTCGTAACAGAGTTGGAAGGGGCTTTGTAGGTCATCTAGTCCAACCCCCACACCATTTCAACAAATCTAAAATGAAGAACTTTCCTGACAAGTCAAAACCATTAATCATTGGAAGAGAAACTGCAGGTGCTCCAACACTGCAGGTTTTAAAGAAGAGACTGGACAAGAGTTTTTTTTTTTTTTTTTTAAATGGTTATAGGGGGTCCTACTTGAGCAGGGGGCTGGACTAGAAGACCTCCAAAAGTCCCTTCCAATTGTGTTTCTTTTTCTGTTATTTCTTCTGTGGTTCGGTTTTCGTTCCTCCTCCCTCCAAAGAGGTATCTCATTGATAACAGTCCCAGCCTTTTCTCTCCTTTTCTCTCTCTTCATCCCTCGTTCCTTTCCCACCTTCGTTCCTGGCTTTTCCACTTCACCCCGTTTTCCACCACACTCAACTTTTAACCCTTCCGGGCCGCCGTTTTCCTCCCAACCAACATTCATTTCCCTCCACACCTCTAAACCAGCTTCAATTTACTCCGCTTGTGTTCCCCATTTTTATCAAAGTCCCCAAACCAAGTTCTCGGCAGCCCCGTTTTCACCGGAAGTCCTATTCTCCGTACTTTTCTTTAACAAGATTTATTGATTTATTTTCGGATCATTGGAAGGGGGAAAAAAAAAAAGAGATTAAAATCCACCTTATCTCCCTGATTCCTGGAGCAGAGAGATTTTTCTGTGGTGTCTTTTAGTCCCAGAGAACTGGCTAAAAAGAAAGCGCAAGAGCGGTTTTTCCTTCTCTTTCTCTCTCTCTCTCCCTTCAGTTAATAGCTCTGGGCAGACAGCCAAGAACCACTTAACAGTTGCAGCTGGAATGCAGCCGGTACAGGCTGAACCAAGTCAATAAACAACCAAAGCTGACAGGATCAGGGCAGGGAAACCCATCAATCACCCGTCTGGATCCAGCAATGGGGAAAGATATTCCTGGAACCGATAAGCAAAGAATGTGCAGGTGGCCGGAAGGTGAATCAGGCCACGAGCAAACCAGCATAGCAAACGAAGTCTTCTACTTCCTCTACTTTTTCACCTTTTATCTATAAGTGCAATCCTTCATTTTCCCCTGTCAAACGCAGCCATCCAGGCCTTGCAAAACACCCCAGCTGAGATCCCTATCTCTGTTGCGTCAGGCAGTTGTGTTTCCCAGAAAATAAGACCTTATATATATATTTTTGCCACAAAAAAAAAAAGGCCACCGGGTCTTATTTTCGGGGGATGCCATCCGCTGACTAACCTCACTTGCGTGCGTCGCCCCGGCCTCCTTTTTTGCTGTCCAAGAAGCGTCTTCATCTCGGATAGGATTGATGGGCGGGGACAGGAAGGATTTGTATTGCTTGCAAGACAGCTGGTCTGTTGCCTCCTTTTAGGCCTCTGCACCCTCTACAGATTTTTAGCTATACAATTTGGGATGAAGACCCTTGGAAGTGTAGGATTTCCAGAGGGGGGAGGGGGGGGGGTAGAAAAATGCAGGCTAGGGGAACCATTTGCAACACTAAGGCGACCCTTCCCCTGTTTTCGGTGACCGTGTTTGTGTTGTATCCCACCCCGGGTCATCGCACAGTCTCAGACGCACACACAAACCCACAAAACCAACGCAACGGCGATCTCCTAGCCCTCCCCCCCCCCCAGGAAAGGCCAACACAATGCCAACGACAAGGACACTCCATCCACCGCGGCTCAAGTGAGGGATGTCCTCATGCAAGGTGGGAGGGGGGCGGAGAGACACACACCGGCTCGAAGTCACAACTCCAGTCACAAACTCACTGTTTCTGCAGCAAGTGCTGGTGCTGCTGCTGCTGCTGCTGCTGCTGCCGGTAGGTCTCGATGGTGTGTTGGGGGAGGAACTGCATGAGCTCCAGGGACTCCTTGATCTTCAGAAGCATCTCGTAGGTCTCCCGGCCTCGAACCTGGAGCCAAGGGGGGGGGGGGGAGGAAAGGCCTGAATGAGAAGCTCGGGGACTCCAGAGAAGACGGCCACGGGGTCGTGGTCCAACACTGCCTTCCCCCCCCCTTTTAAAAAAATAAATAAATTATATATTTGTATGTATGTATGTATGCATGTATGTAGTAGATAGGTATGTATGTATGTAGGTAGGTAGGTAGGTAGGTATAGATATAGATAAATAGATAGATACAGATATAGAATACATCCATTTCATTTCAACCATGTGTCGATTAGGTACATATTTGCATGTGCTTACAATTTATGATGAATGCTCTTCTTATCAGTATAACAATATAACAATCACATTTTCATATAAGTAATACCCAATATATCTCTTTTAACAATCTTCTCTTACTACTTTGTATATTCATAGAATAGAATAGAATAGAATAGAATAGAATAGAATAGAATAGAATAGAATAGAATAGATATTGGAATGAAGAATAGAATAGAATAGGAACAGAATTAAGAAGAGGGGAATCGAATAGAATAAGAAAAGAGAGAAGAGAAGAGAAGAGAAGAGAAGAGAAGAGAAGAGAAGAGAGAATTGGAGAAGAATAGAATAGAGAATATACTAGAGAATATAATATTACAGTAGAATAGAACAGAATAGAATAAGCAGGGAATAGAACAGAATAGAAATACAGAGAATAGAATAGAACAGAACAGAATAGAACAGAACAGAATAGAGAATATACTAGAGAATATAATATTACAATAGAATAGAACAGAATAGAATAAACAGAGAATAGAATAGAACAGAATAGAAATACAGAGAATAGAATAGAACAGAATAGAATAGAACAGAATAGAATAGAATAAAATAATGAATAGGAATGGGAATGGAATTGGAATAGAATAGAAATAGTATTCTTTATTGGCCAAGTGTGATTGGACACACCAGGAATTTGTCTTGGTGCAAATGCTCTCAGTGTCCATAAAAGAAGAGAGACATTCGTCAAGAATCATTAAGGTACAACACTTAATAATAGTCACAGGGTACAATAAGCAATCTAATATTGGTGTTCTCTGAGCTTGATAGTTTTTCTTGAAGACATACGTCATTACTAAACTAGGTTAACAATGCAAACCCTTTACTAAGATAGATTTGGTATGCTTTTATGATTTGTTGTGAAATAAATTAAGTAAATTATAGTTATCTCGTTAAAGTATGAATTAACAAAATCATAGTTAAATGATTTCTCAGTAATGATACTAGGTTATAACAATTGTTGATTGATAATATGAGTTATTATGTAATATAACTATAATGGTGTCTAGGAAACGGATGCACAAAAAAAAGTGGTAAACCAACCAATACACTGTTTGTAAATCTATGAAGGAGGAGGATGTTTTTATATTTTATGTTGTATGTTTTATGTGGTTTTGTTTGTTGTTAAAATCAATAAAAAAATTTAAAAAAAAACAATGCAAACCCTTCTCCCTTCTAGCACTGATGATGTTCCCTCGTTTGGTAATGAAACGTCTGCAGGAAAATCACCAAGAAACCCATAACTCTTCCTCCTCCTTCTCTACTCCGCAAACCTCCCTCCCTTCTAGAATGGATGACGATATCTAGTTGGGTGATGAAACATCTGCAAGAAAACCACCCAGCTCAGAGAACATCAATGTCCCCACCATTGTCACTGTCCTACTTCTCTCCATAAACCCTGCTCCCTTCTAGCACTGGTGAAGTTACTTAGTTGGGTAAAGAAAGGTCTACAAGAAACTACCAAGCTCGTAAGAGTCTCAAGGACCTCACAGACCTCCTCCTCCTTCTCTCCACCAGGTCCACCACTTTCTAAGCATTGATGATGTTACCTAGTTGGGACTTGAAACATCTGCAAGAAAACCACCCAGCTCAGAGAGCACCCACAATTCAACTCTTGTCAACGACAAATATTCTATTCTATCAGAAAAGACCTTCCAACACATGGAAGTATTTTTCAGTCTGAGTTCAACTCCAGGGGACATCGTGTCTACATCTACGTTGTCTTTTTGGTGGCCCTATGGAAGTTGTCCACTCCTGCCTTCTTCCATGATGCTCTTCAGGCTTCCTCAACATACTTATAGTTCTGAAATTTTCTTTTCTCCCATCCAAAACCTCACCAAATTCGGTCCCCGATAGCTCCCAAGAGGAGAGAAGCTTAGCTCAACCTGTCCCCAAAACTCAGAAGACACCAAGTCCACATTTCGAGTGAAGTAGCCAACTCCTCGTTCCTTCTTCCCTTCAAATTCTCGTTCTGGAGACCTTATGCATGGAAGGAGATCTTGACTTCCAACCTTCTTGAATTGGCTTAGAGGTTCTCACAGCTTCTGAAGGTCCCCTCTTGCTTTGCCAGTTACCCCCAAAAAACTCAAGGTGTCCTTCTCCCAACTACACCTCCACATTTTTATACCCAAGTCCTGGTCCTCACTTACTGGGAGATAGAGGAGTTCATCATCTGGGTTGCGTCTTTTCTTGACCGAGGTCATCTGGATTCCATGCGTGCTCTGCCGGAAAGCTGCCAACAAGGAGGGGGGAAAAGGAGAAAGTGAGACCCCAGCCTCAAGAAAGCTCAACTTGACTTCTCAATTCAGGGAAGCTCTTGTGATTTCTGAATTTAGAAATCTGAATTCTATCATGTCTGAATCCGCATCGGAAGCTAGAAACGAACAACGGCACAGAGGCCCACCAACAGAAGACCTTGGCCAACTGAAGGGTCATCAGGAAAGAAGGACTCCTCTTGATCCAGAGGGAGGGTATGCCCCAAGGGTCCAGAGGCTTCAGGCTTCTCTAGAGCATCAGAGGGTATCTGGAGAAACTTCTGGAGAAGATGTCTGGAGACAAGGGGGACAACCCACCAGGCCTTAGCACAGGGGTCCCCAAACTTGGCAACTTTAAGAGTTGTGGACTTCAACTCCCAGAATCCCCCAGCCAGCTTGTTTCTGTTTCTTTTTCCCTTATCCCCCAAAGAGGACAGATTGCAGAGGAAGGGATTGCAAGAGAGTTAAGCTGTGCTGGCTGGGGAGAATTCTGGGAGTTGAAGTCCACGAGTCTTAAAGTTGCCACGTTTGGAGACCCCTTTCTTAGAAGATTGGTGGTTTGGTCTAACTTCCTCAACCATTGCCATACTGATTACTGGGTCTGCCTCTGAACTCAACTTCCAGCAAAGCAAAAGTAAATGTTGCATAACCCTTTGTCTGAAGTGGTGTAGAGTTTCCTGCCTAGGCAGGGGGTTGGACTAGAAGACCTCCAAGGTCCCTTCCAACTCTGTTATTCTATTCTATTTTATTTTATTCTATTTTCTATTCTATTCTATTCTATTTTTTGTTCTATTCTGTCATATTCTATTTTTATTCTATTCTATTCTATTCTATTTGATTCTATTTTCTATTCTATTCTATTCTTTATTCTATTCTACTCTACTCTATTCTTTATTCTATTCTATTCTTTATTCTATTCTATTTTCTATTCTATTCTATTTTTTGTTCTGTTCTGTCATATTCTATTTTTATTCTATTTTTATTCTATTCTTTATTCTATTCTATTCTATTTTCTATTCTATTTTCCATTAACATTGGTCAGTTCTAATTGACATCGTAGCCCGGTTGTTGTTGTTGTTTTTGGTCCACTCCAAACCACAGGTATTTTATCTTATTTTTTTCCCCCTCCTTTTCTCCTGACACGGAAGTTGGCACTATTCGCAACAGGATTATGGGACTGTTTACGCTCCCTTGATTGATGCTGTTATCCAGCATTTCACTTTGGGTTAATTGTTGCTTGTTCCACCAATTCGGTGAGTACAATCCTACAAGTTCGGACTGGCTTGAGGGAACCTTCTACCTCCCGTCCGGCCGACACCCGAGCTGCCTTCACACAAATGCCAAACCTGGTTAGGAAATGGCTTCGTGGCCCATTGGGGCAAAACGATGGACGACACAAACGATGCAAGCAGGTGAGGTTGGCCCAAAACTGAGCCCATAAACACAAAATGCAGCTGTTTGGGGGTGTGTGTGTGTGTCAAGCCCCAAACCCAGTCAAAAGCTGACCTTCTCCTAAATCAGCGTATTTCAGAGTTGGCCTCTTGAAGACGGGCGGACTTCAACTCCCAGAATTCCTTAGCTAGCTACGCCTGACCTTTTCTTCTTCTCCCATCTGCTAAAGCAGGGGTCCCCAAACTTGGCAGCTTTAAGACTTCTGGACTTCAACTCCCAGAATTCCTGAGCTAACATGACCGGAAGGGGGAATTCTGGGAGCTGAAGTCCACAAGCCTCAGAAGAATTCTGGGAATTGAAGTCTTCAAGCTGTCAAGTTTGAAGACCCCTGGAATGGATAGATAAACAAAGGCAGAATGGATAGAAAGAGAGATAGATAGAATAGATAGAGGGAGAGGGAGAGAAAAGTAGAATAGATAGATAGAATAGATAGAGAAAGAGAGGTAGAATAGATAGAAAGAGAGATAGATAGA